AATAACTACTTATAACACTCTTATTAAGTTATAAAGCAATATTAGCATGTAATAACTACTTATAACACTCTTATTAAGTTATAAAGCAATATTAGCATGTAATAACTACTTATAACACTCTTATTAAGTTATAAAGTTTTCAAGCAGAAATTTTCTCTTTATTGAGAAGGTTCTAGCCTTTTAAGATTTAATTTTGTCCCGAGCTTTAGCCAGGGACAAAGTATAATTTTTTTACTATACGCTTTTCAAACTATTTAGTTGGCTGTGAGAATTCTGAAATGCTTTTATATAAGAAAAGTAGTTTGAAAATTGCAAACATGAAATGTGTACCTAAGATCTAGAACTCTTTTCCTAAATCAATTCTTGAGATAAAGTTTGGAATGTTTAATCACCTTCTTGAAGGGTTGTGGGTCTCTAGCAGGGGGAGGAGTATAGAAGGAATACTGGGGAGAACTGATCCGTCCAGCCGTATCCTAGATCATTATCATCATCATCATCTTCATAATCATCATCATCATCATCATCATCATCATCATCATCATCATCATCATCATCATCATCATCATCATCATCATCATCATCATCATCATCATCATCATCATCATCATCATCATCATCATCAACATCATCATCATCATCATCATCATTTAATCATCATCATCATAATTTCAGATCCCTGGTTTACCTGGTATGTTTTCCCACAAGCTGGACAGTTGTACAAAGAACTGGTTTGAAGAATATCTCCTTTGCTAAGCCTTAAACCAAACCATAACTGATAATTAATAATAATTTTCTTTGCTCATATATATGCTGCTGAAGAATGTCCAACATGAAACACAGTGTCCTGCAATAACCAATCTTAGTAAACAATAGATTTATGTTAAGAAGATTATAAGAATATATATTTGTATATTTGTATAACTGTTGACTATAGCTGGCCAAACGGCTGAACCGAATTGGCGGACAATTTTTGAGTGAACCCATGGGTACCCTGGGGGTTTAAACATGGGACAAAAAATAATTCTTAACAATATATAAAATTCCACGGGCAACGCCGGTCACTTCAGCTATAGTAATTAATATTTAAATTCATGTATTAATTATGTTGGTTTGTTTCCCTGATTCTTTGGCCTATTTCAGGCAGGGCTGCCTGGTTTTCAGGTAGGTCCGACCGAGGCAGGATAGTGTCGAGATATGTTCCCTAAAATATACATTTTTAAATTTTACATTTGTTAGGAAATCTTTCCATTCGAGCCCTTTCAGAACTACAAAGGTTTTATCCTGACTTTGTATGAAAGTTTCTTAAAATTAAATTTAAAATATTCCCTAAAATATACATTTTTAAATTTTACATTTGAAATATTTACATTCCTAGCCCTTTAAAGTTCCTGACTATAATAGACCTAAATGTCGTCCAATATGACCTGAAAATCTGGAATTGATATAAGAATCTATGTCTATCTATAGTACAGGGTTACCCACAAAGGATGAAACTTCTATGACGACCTAAAACTCGTTGAAACAACTATTTTGTCTCTGCATCAAATACAGTGTATTAGGCTGGTTCAAAGACGGTAGAATGTCATAAAGTATAGTTTTTTAATAGTCTAAAGCAGAATGTTAGGGTAGTAACGTGAGAAAGGCCCGAAAAAACCTTTGCAATCTGTTTTAAGATGAAGTTTATCTAACAAGATAATAAACTTATGCATTACTTACGATAAATTCTGTAAAAAAACGCAAGTTTTTGGTGATGGAAATACTTAAAAAGTCCTAAAACATTTTAAAATTATAGAAAAGACGACATTCTATGGCTTCTTTTTCAACCCAATTCAGGCGCCTGGTTTTGCGTATAAATTCCAATGCCTACTCTTTATATTACAAAGCTCCTTGGGCTGGTTCTTTTTTGGTTCGTTTTTTGTCTCTAGTTCCCTTCAGGTTTGTTTATTCTAAAAGTGTTTTTTACAATATGTAACATTTTACCGAGACAGAAATATCGTTTTCAACCGTTTTTCCATTTTTTTGGGGCTAAAAATATTGCAAATTTAATAAAAGCAAAATTTACCGGAATACAGTTTTGAACAAACACTGACTATAAGAATTTGTAAAAAAAAGAATTCTTTGAGATGCAAATAAGAAAAACAACTTATGAAATTCCGTACAGTCGTCGTTTCTCAATTATTATCCTTTGTAGATATCGCTACAGGTAATAAAAAACTACAGCTAAAGAAAAAGTGAAAAAATTTATTTTTTATTTTTGACGATTGATGATCCAACGACAATGGATTGACAACAGTCCTTCTGTAAGGATCTGTTTTTGCAGAATAGATTTTTTTTTACCATATTCATAACATATCTAAAAATAAATCAAATCACGTTGGATTTCTACCTAACTCAATATTTCGAATTCAAGATGAATATAATAAGTCAAAAATTTTTTGAAATATTTGCTTAATTAAATTGACACTCTTTTTTAGACAAAATACATTTTTTTGGTCAGAAAACCCTAAGATCTGAAACCCTTGAAAGGGAGCGTAGAGGAAAAATGAAAGGGGGTATAGGCTGAAAGCTAATCACTTTAGCTCTCGATCGCGACCCATGAAAGTCATATCTGGTGTTCCTATCTCGAGAAATTGATATACAACTTTGTCAAATTTATACGAAAATTAATATATATACAATTTTGTNCTATCTATCTATCTATCTATCTATCTATCTATCTATCTATCTATCTATCTATCTATCTATCTATCTATCTATCTATCTATCTATCTATCTATCTATCTATCTATCTATCTATCTATCTATCTATCTATCTATCTATCTATCTATCTATCTATCTATCTATCTATCTATCTATCTATCTATCTATCTATCTATCTATCTATCTATCTATCTATCTATCTATCTATCTATCTATCTATCTATCTATCTATCTATCTATCTATCTATCTATCTATCTATCTATCTATCTATCTATCTATCTATCTATCTATCTATCTATCTATCTATCTATCTATCTATCTATCTATCTATCTATCTATCTATCTATCTATCTATCTATCTATCTATCTATCTATCTATCTATCTATCTATCTATCTATCTATCTATCTATCTATCTTTCTTTCTATCTATCTATCTATCTATCTATCTATCTATCTATCTATCTATATATCTATCTTTCTATCAATCTATGGTGTTAGGTTCTTTCCCAAACTCATTTTCCTAAGGACTTCCCAAGTGACAATTTCCCAAGTGGCAACTTCCCAAAGGTTATACTTATGCTATTAGGCCTTCTAAGGCGCTGCAGGCTGCAACACACTTGTATGCGATTCCCTTAGCGCCTGATCCAATCTGGGTTTATTCATGTGTTTGTTGTCTATTCTGAACCAATAGAAATTGCATGGCAGTATCATCTATCTTTCTATCTATCTCATTATCCAATTAGAGAAAAATCCTTATATCCGAACTAAACAGTAAATTAAAATATTTACTTCTACTGCAACTATAGTGGCAATGGGGGGGGCGAGCTCTGCGACTATGATGGGCTAGGGGGCAGAGCGCTGCGGCTAAACCTGCTAGGGGCCGAGCGCTGCTGCTGGGACAGACTTGGGAAGGTGCCGCTTTGGAAAAGGCCTTTTGGAAAGTACCTAACATCTCTATCTATCTATCTATCTTCTACCTGTCTGGTCTAGTGTGCTCGTGCCAGAATCCAACCACATGCCCCAGCTCATGAACAACTATACCGAACTTGTCACAGTTCTTACCTAGAGTTATATTTTGAGTGAGAAACATAACATTCCGGAACAGGAAGACGACTTTTAGACTCAAGTTATGAATTTGAATAGTTCATTAAAAATGAGACTGAGCGTAAACAGATTCATTTCATGGAATAAGTGAATTAATAATTGTTACAAATGTTGTCTTTCTATGCCATACATGTAGCTGTTCGTTTTGAACTAAGAAATTAACTTTAATTTCAGCTAACGATCTCGCTAAGCGCGTTGTAAAGGCGTTGATGATGTATATACCAATGTTTTTTTTGCTGCCTTCGTTATATTGTTTATATAATTAATTATTTAAAACCACAAGAATTAACGAAATATGTTGTTTAAGGGTTTTTTACTTGTTTGTCCCAAAGGAGAATTAAGTTACTTAATATCCCGCTGATGTTAGGGGAATCAAGGGTAATATCGGCCAAAATGAGTAAAAATAATAATAATATATTAGAATAAGAATAATGAACAATTAATAAATTGGAAAGGAAAATTTAAAAAAAAACATCAAGGTACTAATGCAAGGAAAATTATTTCAGAGGTGTACGCATTTTTTGTACTGCAGTTACTGTCTGTGGGCGGAAAAGTAAACACAAGACGTATTCCACAGCCTAACATGGAATCCATTTTCACAAAAATAATCTATGAAATATTCTGATCATAGGAAACTATTATGTGAATTATCAAAACTATCAAAATTCAATGCTTTTAACCTCCTCGGATACTAAACGAACACTGATGAATCGATTCTTATTTACAAATTCCTCCCAGAGAGAACTGGTTTCATTATGTACGCAGAGTATACACAACCGCAATTAACTTTCCTGGCATTAGTACCTTAAGAAATATAATCTTTTTATATTGTAAAGCATAAGTAACTATATAATCAGTTATGATAATAATGTTTATGACATTAATGAAAGCAATAATGTTCACGGTATGATAATGATACTCATAATAATAACATCTTTTAATGTCAAAACAACAAAGTTCAGAAAATTACCTATATTAGTTATTCTATACTAATGACTACAAATATTGTTATTGACGAAGATGAAGATAAAGATGAAAATTTGCGTACATTTTCTTATTTAAGGGACTGACTAGTTAGGTCTGGTAGTTGAACGGAGAGTTCAAAATTAAAAATATCAGAATTCATTCATTCATTCATCCACATTAAACATTTTTACAATCTATGAATGCTACATAAGACCAAAAATTTGCTCTTTAAAAATCACAAGGAAGCGTCATTTGTTGTTTAGTAAGTTGAGGATCCATTTAATTTTGATGCGGATCCGGATCCTGGATCATCACTGGAAAAAATGGATCCGGATCCAAATCCGGATCCCGGTCATTTCTTAAAGATTTGCTGAATTTTTTAACAAAAAATAATTTTCAAATTTTTTGTTTTATTTTTTTCGCTTATTTTTATCCTAAAACTGAACCATTGAAAATGAGGAAATTTTTATAATCTTTTAGAAGTAAAAATGTTTTTTTTTTGCAAATATCAACCAAAAAGGTTGATATTTTTGGATCCAAATCCGTGGATCCGCATATCTTTGCGGATCTGGATCCGGATCCAGGAAGCCAAAATCTTGCGGATCCAACGGATCCGGATCCGGACCCTAAGCACTGAGTAAAAGGTTGATAAAATGTCCTTGAATTTCATTACAAACACGACAACACGACAGGACAAAGAAATTCATAAAGAATAAAGAATTTGATATAATGAAGAACAAAGAAGAAATTGTTTCTACAATTAATTTCATCACAAAGATCTATTGAGAAATATGTTTATAATTACCAAATTAGTTTATTTATAGAAGAATTTTTGTCACGTTTTTCGTCCAGGTTATTTCATAATTTCAAAAAATCGAATCTTAAAAGCAAGCCTTCAAAAGGATTCCTACTTGTGATTTTTAAAGTGCAAATTTTTTATCTTTTCCAGTAATTTATAAAAAAAATACTTTTTTTCTCTATAAAACTACACTCTCTGTTCAATTACTTTACCTAGCAGGTCACTCCCTTTAATTAAAGATTTATTAAAGTGTAGGAGTCTAAACCTTTCTGCAAAATTCTAATTAAGATTATAAATCAAGAAACATTTGGTAGAATTTCTTCTAAAATGATTTATGGGAATTAATCAATTAAGTTTTCTAATAAAGTTTGTGAGAATTATTACTCCCTCCCAGATATTGTTCTTGTTAATGAAGTAATGATTTATTATTTGATATATCTACTTGGGATTGTATATTCTGAGGGGAGGGGGGGGGGGGCAATAAACAATTGCCCCCACTCAAAGCTATTCTAGGCCTTGAAGTAGGGTTAAGATATAACACTAATGTAAATAGAGTTAGATTTGGTTAAACTGAAACATTTTGCACGTTCTCCTAAAATCTAATTTGGTGCTGGTATAAAAATAAAGAAATTCTAAATGAATGAAGGTACAGGGTGTCCCACGAAACACGACAGTTAGTAAATAGTTTTGAATATCTTCTTCCATATACTGCATTATATGTTAAAGACTTTTTGCAGTTTATTTTGTTGGAAAAAATCTTTACTCAAATATATTTTACTTTGAAATAAATTTTACTATAAAATGACTGCCTAACATTTAAAACTTTTCAACAACTGTTATGTTTTGCGGGACACCCTGTAAAACAATATAATTAATTAAAAAATGAAATTACCAATAGAAATAGCCTGAGGACCGTTCCCACGTTTCCCCACAAAAGAGCAGCAGCCACATGGCCTCTCTGTTTTAACCAATAATTAATAATCAAATATCAAATATATCAAGTATTCATGAAACTTTCATATTTAGGGCTACAAAAAATTGGAATGAAAATGTCAAACCAAGGAAAAATACCGTCAACACTTAAAGAATGACCCGATCACACAAATTTGCTTTAAGAATTGGTAAAACCACTGTGTCCGATTGTTCTGATCCATTGGAGATGATAATTTAATTGATTGATTGTATTCCTGTGAAGACGATCCAGTTTGGAATTTAGGGCTACAAAAAATTGGAATGAAAATGTCAAACCAAGGAAAAATACCGTCAACACTTAAAGAATGACCCGATCACACAAAGGAATTGAGTCTTTGACACAAACTCTGATTTTCTAATTCCTATATCTCTGCAACCCAGTGGCGTAGACCTTAGATATTTTAAAGTATGAATTCTCTTGCATCAAATTATCTTAGTTTGAAATATCAAAACATCAGGTTCCAAAGATAAATGGATTAGAAAATTTGAATTTGTGGCAAAGACTCAATTCCTTTGCTTTAAGAATCGGTAAAACCACTGTGTCCGATTGTTCTGATCCATTGGAGATGATAATTTAATTGATTGATTGTATTCCTGTGAAGACGATCCAGTTTGGATGCTCGGCAGTGCGCTCGACAAACTGAATACACGTGTAGTTCTCCCAGTGTCGCATAGCCTGCTTGAAGAGCGCCTGAAAATTAATCATTTATAGACATAAAAATTATTTTTTTTTTCTGTGAAATAATTTGTATTTAAAATATTGAGCGTTTTTTAGAATTAGATGGTGCCTTAAAAGTTTTAACAAATTGTTTTAAATTAAAAAATTCTTGTATTTTTGTCTTCATCTACAATTCTAAAGTTTAAACGCTTATGCCATAGGGTTATCCACAAAGGATGAGACTGTAAAGACGACTTGAAACTCTGGAAATGTTACAAATTTCAAGTTTTAATTACGTCTTCTGCCGTGAAAATATTCTTTCAACTGAATATTTAATGATTTGTCTAAAAAAGAATCAAGTTTACAGTCGCAGGGAATCATGATTTTTTTGGAAACATAAATATTAATTCCGTACAGTCGTCTCTAACCCTGTATCTTCGGTGGCTTTTAAGTTCTTAAGAAACTCTTAAGAAACACTAAGGATAATGAATTAAGTATGATATACTTTACTTAATCTTCTCCAAAAGTGTTTTGTTATAATTTTTAGATTTTGATGGGAAGTTATTGTTTGTATTTAGCCTAACCCAAGGCATATATTATATGTTGCAGGAATACCCACAAAGAATGAGACTTCAGAGACAACTGTATGGAATTTATTCTGATGTACCTTTTACATTCAAGGTTACCCGTATTCTTATACTATATTTTTTTAGGATCATTCAATAGATCCTCAGAGGAATATTTTTAAATCAAAATTAAACCTTCAAATCCCCAAAACTGAGACATTTTAGGTCGTTATTAAATTCTCATTCTTTGTGGGTAACCCTGTACGGTATAAAACATTGCTATGAATCATCTAAATAACACGCTTTCAAGTTTAAACTCAACAATTAAGAATAATTAATTAATTAATAATTAACCCTGTTTGAGCATGATTTCACGTTTAGACATTTTGATACATTAATATGAGTTCTAATCTAAATTTAGTTACTAAATCCAATTGTAGATTGAATTTGAATGAGCATATTCGAATATTAAAATCATTAATTTTCAATCCAATATAGTTTGGAATGCATAATTTACAAAACAGGCGAGATATACACAAATTAGTCAGAAATATATATTAAAGATAAAAATCTAAATATTGAATTTTGGAGAATAAAAATGAGTTTGTGGAGAAGAGGGGTTCAAAAGATTTAAAAATCCTGCAAATTCAAATCATTAATGTTTCTATTCCATTTCAAAGGGTTAAAACAGTTTTTTTTTCTATAAAAAATATACTACATACTTAAGGGTTTCTAGCAAAGAGGATATCAAATTACAGAGTTGCTCAATTTTAAAGTTCTTAGTTCCCTTAGATTCAGACTGATTGCTGTTTTTCATGTTCTTTATACAATTATTTGACAAGTTGCATCAATTTTTTAGAATGGGTCAACTGTTAAGTGTCGCAACGCTTTGGACTTAGATTTTGCCTCACAAACTCACTTTTACTTTTTGTGGCCCTAGATCTGTTTATTTTAGAACTTTCAAGTGCTTGTTTTTAGCTTTACGTTTTATTAGACAACATGTGTATCAAACATTTTGTGAGAGCTTGCAACCCTTAGAAGTTATAAATAAAAAAATAGTGGTATCAGAGTCTGTACATCATTATACTCTTTGAAAACATAATTCCAAGGTGCAAAGAAGTTGAGGTTAAAAACTAAATTGTTTTTGCATTTTTAAAATGGAAAACCTAGAATTTTCTAGTTTCTTCACAATCTTGAAATTGAGATTTTAAAATTTTCTATTTTCTTAAAAATGCCAAAAATTCTGAATTTAGAAGCGAAAATCATTGAAAAAAAATAATTTAAGGTTGAGAGATGGTTTTAAAATAGTAGCTTTTTTACATTTCAACATTTTTTTAAATATTTTTCTTCATGCCACCTGAATGTAATACTGAGAATAAAGATATAAAATTAAAAATAACGTTATTGTTTACAGAAGACAAGTTTTAAGGAAACAAAATTATAAAATACTAGGATAGAAAACCCGGCATTGTATGGAAAATAATTTCCTACAAAAAGTCATCCTACTCAAACAAAGAACCTTCCCGTGGTTTTCCAAGTTCCCCAATCAAAATTCGAGGCAAATCTGTGGTTCTACCGAGTAATCAAATTTTGAGGCAAATTGGTCATGGAGTTCATGAGTTTATTTGATCTAACAGAATTCATAGCTTAAGCTATCTAAGATCTATGACATTGGGTTGAAAGGAAGAGATTAGAAAATTTGAGTTTGTGACAAAGACTCAATTCTTTTCATAACATTTCATCAAACCGAACTGCACACATTTCAAGCATACAAATAATGCATCTATATAAATACGAGAGTTTCTTTGTCTGTTTGCTTGTTTCCAACCAACGTCGAAACGGCAGAACCGATCGGGCCCAAATTTCTTGTGGGACCTCACCTAATCCCAGGGTAGCTTTATGGTTGAATAGATTTTTAAAAACTTGCCATAAAAGTTCGATTTTTCAAAATTCACAAAAATATCGATAAAAAAGTAACAATTAAAAGTTACAAACGAAGATAGGCACGAAGTGCCATGGATGCCTAGTATACATATATTCACCTTATGTACACCACTGAAGTTAGAATCTATCTCGTATGGTATAACAGCGTAATCCCATATTCGCTCAGGTCTGTGGGAAACCAGCAGTAAAAATAATAACAACATTTAAATTTTTTAATCATAATTGATTAATGTTAATGTAATTTCTACTGATGCTTCGATATTTTAATTTTTCGTTTTAAGATGAACATGTCCGATTCACAATGGTACCTTGAAAGCTAAATTCGTTGATCGGCTTGAAAAATGTATAATTTTGATAAGTTCTCCATTGTTTCTGAACAGTTTTCAAAAACAAAAACATCGATATCTAAAGTCATACTTGATCAAAAAAAAGCTTTTTTGTGTACAATTGTCAATCATGCGTGCCGTTTCATTAATAGGTCACGTATTGCTTGCATGGTTTTAAAAGAAAAACGTTACAAAATGTGAGTGGTCCAAAGTTACGCGGAATGTTGGTCGTCTTTCCTCGTTTTTTACTAAAAAAAGAAGGAAAATGATATTATTAATTGGGTTCTTTAAGAAATCTGTATTTTAATGATCAAAATTTAGTTCTCTCAAATTTGAACAAAATATATCCTGTGTTGAGTATTAAATTGTCAATTTCCAATTTTACAATTTTAAAATTGACATTTTAAAATATAATATTTCCGCGGGAAAATTTAATGCTTTCCTGGCGGTTGCTGCTCTTTTATCTCTTCCACTCCTATCTTGGCTCAACATTTTTCCTTCTTTCATCTCCTTCTCTATTCTTTCCCGCCATTTTCGTCGTTTTTCAGCTTCGTCCTTCATTTTTTGTCCTCCAGCTTGCGGGGCTTGTCCTCGGAGTCTTGCCTTGTCCCATTCCATTCGTTCATTTCTTACGTCATTTTTACTCCGGTCTTTTCTCTTTCTCTTGTCATTTACGATTCTCTATACGGGATTCAGGGTTTTAAATATTTTCAGAAATGACATTATAGAGAATTGATGCATTTGTAAAACATTTTTCATTATTTACAATTCAATAAAAACACTATCTTCACAGTTTAAATTCTAACCCTCCATAAGGTTCTTTTTTTAATGCACCAATTTTTTTAGACAAAATACGAAGATTTACCAGTATTTTAATGAAGAAAACCTTATTAAAGAGGCAGACCGGCTATTTAAGGTAGTTAAACTGAGTATGCAGTGTTGTGGTCAAATTCTTTAGGATTCATGTATAAAACGTTTCCACGATGTATAATTACTGAGTTTGAGTGCATAGTCGACGTTCAAAATCATGAATTTGGGTGGCTACGTTTTAAGAATCGGTTTTTTTCAATTATTAAAGAACGACGACAAAAAATAAAGTAAAAATTATACGGTAAACTAATGTTTACTGACATATTTCTCAAAAGAAATTTGTCAATAAATCGAAGTCAGAATTAGTTATATTTCCTTTTTTAACTATTATATTTAATTTCTTATTTTCGAAGAATTTGTTCGCAGATTTCTTCAAATTCTTCAAATGTCGTCTTTTCAATAAAAATTCCAGAAAATCTGCAAAAAATCTTTGTGATTAAAGAGAGATTATAAAAACTAATAATTTAATAAGATTACTTATTTTCGATGATAAGAGTTAATTTCTATTTTCTTAAGCTATTCCTAAACAACTAATTAGTTTACTGTAGAATTTTGTTTACATTTTTTTGTCGTCGCGGTTATTTAATAATTTAAAAAAAAATTATGAAAACGCATCCACCCAAAACGTCGATTTTGAACGTCGACTTTTACAGATCTTTAAAACGTTTTATATGTCTGAAATGAATCCTAAAGAATTTGTCCACACCACTGCATACTCTGTTCAACTACCTTACATAGCCGGTTACTCCCTTTAAGTGAAATGAGTATGTGTGCACTGCACATTTGCTGTGGCCTGTGCTTCTTGTTCATTGAACTGTAAAAAATCATAATTTGTTCACTGTATCACCATGTATAATGTAAATAGCTGGAAGCAACGATTTTTAAGAAAAACTAATTTTGTTTTTACAATTTTCAATCGGAACAAAGTTGTTTTAAAAGTTAATCAAGCAGGGTATTGATATCAAATGAAAAAGTTCTATAATTGCGAATTTGTTGTGAATGGATAAATGGAAACTTCAAGGAAATTGCAAGTAATCTGAAGAAATTTGAACGGATAATATGTTTGAAAGAATGCATTTCTATCTAAATCTTTCAATGTTGTAAGAAAACTTTGATTCAATATTTGACTTTTGCTATAACAAACCTGAAAACGATGAAGTGATATTTTCGCCTCTTTTTATATAAAACTTTGCTAAGAACTTTGCTATTGCATGTAAGCTTGCGAATACAAATCGACTTGACCAGACTCTAAAATTCAGCTCAAAGCCCAACTTCTGGCCTGACACAAACTTCGGATAGAAGTAATATTTATTGCAAGTTAACACATCAAAGTGACGACAGGACAAAATTATACATCAACAAATCAATTAATTAATTAAGTAATTGATGTATTTTTCATAACTTGAATGGAATGCCCACCAATTTGAATCCTTACTTAATCAATAAAAATTTAAATCGGTGGTTCATAATTGAACCGGGTAGTACAGGAAGTTCAGCGCGGTAGCTCAAATTCATTAAATTCGATCCCAGGTTGCCAAGATAAGAGGGTTAGACTATCAGAATTTATGATGATATGGATCAGTCCTTCAAATTGTATTTTTGAGATTAAGTAGCTTTAACTTGTTCTTGTAAACTATAAATGCGCTCTATTGTTACAAAATTATTTTATCTGTTACAAAATTATTTTATCTGTTAAAAAATTATTTTATCTGTTACAAAATCTAAATTTATTCAAAATCTCAAAAAGCTTCTCTTTACATCGGATAAAAACCTTTAATAAAAAATGACGCTGCCCAATTATAAACGTTTTATCAGATTCCATCAAACGGGAGTTTGACGATAAAAACCTTTATTTTGTAATTCTAAATACTATAACCCTCCTCAACAAGAATGCATGATATCCATAATCTTTTCTTTAAAAATTGATTATCATTAAAACGACGATATCTTCAACATTATTGATTATATAACGGGGTTAAAGGTACCGCAGTGAATCAGGTAGAGCTCTTTAAATAAAAGGTCAATGGAAATTACCTTTGATATTTTAAAATTAGATTATTTGATCGGAGAGAATTCACATAGTTTGAAATATCTAAGGGTTTTACAACATCGGTTTTAGAGAAATAGGGATTAAAAAGAAGCGTTTATGCTGAAAACTCAGAGCTGAAAACTTAGAATGGTGGATATTGTGATTAATGCTTGATCCTCTCTTTTTCTTAATATCGAACCTAACCTATTCTTGTGTTTGTATCCTGAAAAGAGTATAAAATTCAACCAATCAGAGTCGTGTATGTGAAGTTGATAAATTTGAAATTTTGCGCGCCATTTAAGATTATATACAGAAACGGGAAGGACTCTCTAAATTTAAAAAACCGGTTTTTGATTTTTCTCTACTATATCCAAGAAAAAACGGTTTACAAAGAAAATCAAAAGTGTGTCCATTGGATACTCAGGTTAAGTAATTGGGATTAAGGATATCTTATTCTAAAGTTTTCAGCTCAGTTTCTTTAAGAGTTGCAATTATAGATACAACTGACGAAAAAAACATTAAAATTCCCTTGAAATAGTAAATATACCTTTGTTTCTGAAACTTAGACCTTCGATGTCGGATTCTAAAAAACAAAAATTTGTTAGAGGTTTAGAAAAATTTATTAGAGGTTTATACAAATTTATTAGAGGTTTATACAAATTTATTAAAGGTTTATACAAATTTATTTGTTGTACACAGAAAATAGTAGATTAAAATATTTTTAGATAAATCTAAATTGATGTTAATTATACCATAATCTTTTCTTTAAAAATTGATTATCATTAAAACGACGATATCTTCAACATTATTGATTATATAACGGGGTTAAAGGTACCGCAGTGAATCGGGTAGAGCTCTCTAAATAAAAGGTCAATGGAAATTTGATATTTTAAAATTAGATTATTTGATCGGAGAGAATTCATATAGTTTGAAATATCTAGGGGTTTTACAACATCGGTTCTAGAGATATAGGGATTAAAAAACAGCGTTTATGCTAAAAACTCAGTTTCTTTAAGAGTTTCGATTATAGATACAACTGACTTTTTATAATATTTGGGAAAAAAACATTAAAATTCCCTTGAAATAGTAAATATACCTTTGTTTCTGAAACTTAGACCTTCGATGTCGGATTCTAAAAAACAAAAATTTATTAGAGGTTTAGAAAAATTTATTTGTTGGACACAGAAAATAGTAGATTAAAATATTTTTAGATAAATCTAAATTGATGTTAATTATGTCCACCTATTTCAAAGTTTGTTCAACAATACCTTTGATTCTAACTCAATGGTATAATCAAATTTGAGAAGTCTAATCCAAATTTAAAAGTTTTCTTCCAGATTCTAGATTTATAAAAGAGAATAATTTTATAATTTTCTTTTATGTCTAAGAAAGTAGTAAATATTGCAAACTGCATGCCAGTCCACCATAGTTTCAGTAGAAGTAAATATTTCCATTTACTGATAGCGCCGATTTAAGGATTCATAACTCTAATTGGATAATGAGATAGATAGAAAGATAGATGTTACTTTTTCTATTGGTTCAGAATATACAACAAACACATCACTGAACCCTGATTGGATCAGGCGCTTATGGACGCGGCATTCAGAAGTGAGTCATGGGATGCCAGCCTAAAAGATTTAGTCCATGCTACATACTGAAATCTTCTTACTCCTAAATCTTTGCAACCTGATAGTGTAAACCTTTGATAATTTGAACTTAAATTATTGTTCTAACAGAATTCATAGTTTAAAATATCTAAGTTCTTCTAGACAGGATTGCAAAGATAAAGGGATTAGAAAATCAGAGTTTGTGACATAAATCCAAGTCTTTCACAGCATAAATTAAATGTTCTTCTTCCAAAACTGTTTTTTTTTACTTAAACATGTTTAATTTCATTATAACAGTGCTATAAAGTAATAATGGGACTGTTTATTGCATCATTAATTGCTAATAAGCAATGGCTTGTTGTTGAGCTTTTTATTTTCTGATTTATAATAGTTTGAACTATAAAGCCAAAGTGCATACTCCAAATAAAATCTATGCATTCCATGTATTACCTGTATNCAGTATTCCATGAATTCCATGTATTCCATGTATGCCATGTAATTCATGTATTCCGTGTAATTCATGTATTCCATGTATTCCATGAATTCCATGTATTCCATGTATTCCATGTATTCCATGTAATCCATGTATTCCATGTATTGTATTCCATGAATTCCATGTATTACATGTATTACATGTATTTCATGTATTACATGTATTCTATGTATTACATGTATTCCATGTATTACATGTATTCCATGTATTCCATGTATGTCACGTATGCCATGTATTCCCTGAATTCCATGTATTCCATGTATTCTATGCATTCCATGTAATCCACTTCTTTGTATTTGGAGTGAATCCGCAAATTACAATTATAAACTCTCTGTCAAGCAGATCCTTACTATGACACATCACTAATTACAATTGTTGTATAATAAAAGCAAATAATGAATTGCAAATAATTAATTAACAGCTGGCAAAATGAATACTTGACGATATAAATTAAAGTTAAAACAAGAAATCGTTCGGAAATTCGAACGATAAACTTCACACAGTCTTTGTCACAAACTCTGATTTTTAAATCCCTAAAATCAGTGCAACCCAATGTCGTAGATCTCAGAACTATGACTATATGTTAGATTAAATAATCTAAAGTTTAAGTATCAAAGGTGTAACCTTCAGGTTGCAAAGGGATTAGAAAATTCGAGTTTGTAGCAAAGGCTCAAACTCTTTAGATGTAGCATTTTGTTCATAATTTCGAAGAACAAATTCTTTATCTTAAAGGAGTTACTGGCAATGTATGGTAGTTGAACTGAGAATGTATTACCATACATTGCCAGTCACTCCCTTTAAAGTGCATTCGGAAGTTTGAGATTAAGAGTTAAATGTTAGGTTTTTCTTCTGTTTATAAAATAAAAATATAAGTTTGTAAAAAGCATAATATGCGCATCTAATTCCCTCAATGTACAGGGTGTCCCAATAAACATGGGAATTCTGTGAAGATTTCTATATCGTCTTTGTAAATAATTTTTTATTTGAAAGGAAAGCTCTTATCCGCGTAAGATATTTCGACGGTTAGAGTTAAGAATTTGTTTGTTTATTTTTTGATTGCATACTATTGAACTTATTAACTTGAACTGTTTATCTTGCAGAAATTATTAATTCCCATGTTTATTGGGCCAGTGTGTATAATGTATTATGTGTATAATGTATAATGTTTAATGTATAATGTAAATATGATGTATCTAATATTCATAAATCATATTCCTCCGATTTTTGGTTTGATCTGCAGCATCAGCAGCTGTTATAAATAATATTAATATGGGAATATCGTAGTATTATATCAATATAATAAAGACGACTTTCGAATTAAATTTCGATTTAGATCAAGTTTGTAAACAGCATGGATACACAAAATAATGAAACAAAAAGAAGCTGTCAATAAAAAACGCTTCTATTTAATTACCTGTAAACTAGATATTCGAAAAAAAGCTTGGTCACAATTAATACCGTACATTAAATAATTAACTGTAAGCGTAATTTCAAACGATCCTCCATGCAAAAATTGCAATACCCGATTTATGACGTTATTACCCTTGAAAGAGTACATTGCAAAGATATATGGGATTAGACAATTTGAGTCTGTGGCAAAAACTCAGCTACTTTTGTATAAACCGAGAAGAAAATGTGATGACAGTAGGGAAAAGTTTTTATCAATTTAGTTTTGTATTTGTATTTCAATATTATACCTGGCGAGGGATTTACTTTTGTTTCTTCGTCGAAGATTTTCCTTCGAAACATCATCATTAGTCTTCACATCTTCAGAAGCAGCCTCTGAAGCGTTCGCAGCCTCCAAAACGGTTCCATCCTCAAAACTTTTAACAACCTCAATCGTTGGACCAGCATTAGATGTTAACTCAGTTTTCCATAATTGAATCTTATTCTTTAGATTCTGGTTTTCAAATTCACAATCCTGGCCTCGATTCACTTCTTTGGCATATTTGGTCTTGTGACCAGCCTCGGGAGGCTGAACTTGAAGATTATCTTCATGAGGCTCAAATTGACCTGGAACAGCCTCCTTCCCGTTAATTTCTTGAACTTGCACCTCTTTTTGAGCTTCTGCATGACTTTTTCTCTGTTTTTCAAATTGTTTTTGCTCTTTAATGTGTTTTTCTTCTTGAACCTGTTTTTGAACAAGAACGTCCTCTAGGGCTTGTAACGTCTTCTTGTCAGAATGGCCTTGAACAAGTTTTTGGTCTTGAACATGGTTTTGGCCTTGAACATGGTTTTTATCTTGAACATGGTTTTCATCTTGCACATCGTTTTTATCTTGAACATGGTTTTCATCTTGAACATTGTTTTTATCTTGAACATGGTTTTCATCTTGAACATTGCTTTTATCTTGAACATGATTTTCATCTTGAACCTGTTTAGGTTGCCGGCCTTGGTTGGATCCTTTTAGTATTAATGCGTCCTCTGGTGCCACCTAGAAAAGAATCATAAATGTCAGTCCTTCAAAATTGGTCTTTTATGTTATTTTATTATGATTTGTATTTTAATCACTTTTGTCATTATGTGCGTAAATTAGTTAATAACAATTCTTGAAATCAGGCAAATTCAAGATTCTTGATAATTTTTTTCAACTTTTAAGGAAGGGGGGAAGAGGGATTATTAATATTAATGTGATATAGGTAAGGATTATTTTTACGAGGAAGGGAGTGATTATTACTGCAAGGGATGTAAGAATTATTTATGCGAGGGAGGGAGGGTTTACAACTTCTAGGGAGGGAGGAATTATAACTGAGGCTCTGAGGCAAATGTTTCACTTACTTTGTATCCTGCTGAGTTGGTTGGAGTATATGGATGAGGGAGGGGGGAATTATTGCTGCGAGGAAGGGAGGGACTTTTACTGCTCGGCGGTGAAGATTTAATTTTTTGTATCTCCGCTACAAACTGTGAACTGGACTTGGTACTGTTACTCCGACTTTTATACCTAAAATAAAATAAAATAGTTTGTAAATCATGAAAACACCTGATCATGCGCCACAACCTCTGATTTCATAATATTAATGTGTATGCAAATTATCTTCAAATTATCAACGGTTTTTACCATTAATTTGCATAGATATATAGATAAGAGATCAAATTTTGATGTAATTTATAAGAGCTTTATCAGCATGCTTTTCTATGAATTTAACTAACAATCGTTTTGTTATTATTATTAAAACAGTGTATTTAGTTTACAGGGGGCGGAAATGACATGTATGTGTACCAAAAAAGTGTGTGCAAGTAATAACGAACCGAATGCGTGTACTGCAGGTATATACAGTACATAAGAATCTCGGTCTTTGTACAGTCTAGGAGAGTACATATGTTTATTGTTAATTGTTTACTTAAAAATAAGTTTAATATAAATGTAATATATTATTTATATATCTCAGTTAACACTATAAGCCAATTTTCAAGCTTAATTATGATTGACGACATTGTACTGCAATTTCCTGAACTAAAGTCATGTTGTGTGTCTGAACCAAAAGAGTGTGCGTGTGTAATAACGAACTCGTCTGCAAAACAGTGCGGCTGACTTTCTCATGCCAGACCAGCGCCATTTCCCTTCCCTTTATTCTTATTCCCTGTGTATTTCTCTTTAGGAATAATAGCCAGAGACTGTGAAATTCAATATTTAAGAAATAAAAAGTCATAGAAAGGAAATACTGGGCCCTCGGGACATTCTCCACCCATTGCAAGAGTAAATTATACTGCTTTTTTAAATCAGTATAAAAATATACGATAAATTATTAATTTCATTATTATTTAATGAGAAAATGTACTGTAAGTTAATAAAAGATTTTGTATGTTTGAGAAGCAAGAATAAAATCGTTTTTTTTGCTAAAAAGAAAATGAAACGTTCACACAAATCTTTCCTTTGTGGTATATAAAACAAATTGTGTTGAAGCTGCATTTGAATTTCCGAGCCGGGTCAACCTTTCCGGTCCCAGTTTTTACTGTATTGCCCAGACATTGGGTAAATGAAGCAGACACTCAGTAGGACTAGCCGGTGCAACAAGGTTTTTGTTGTTAGCTGACAAACCGTTAATATATAAAAACGTATATTTCGTTAACGAGAATTTTTAACGGGTCCTTGTAGTAAACTTCAAAAAAGCGAGACATTTTTTAAAAATTCTTCTCTCCTCAAAGTTAATGCTTGCAGCAATATTTGTATCTCATGAAAAATTTTAAACTTCTCAACTTTGGAAATTGTAAACAATGAATAAGTTTTCGGGAAAAATATGAAAATCACAAGAACTTGGTTGTTTCCCCCCTAACTAGACTCTTCAGAGTAAAATCTCAATCAATCGAAATTCTATTCATGGCAAAAAAACTTTTTTCTATATGATGTCTTAAAACACATTGAGTGGTATCAAAAAAATCTTTCCAATTTTAATATTATTAAATGATTCCGTTTGCTTGTTTATACAAATAGCGCGACTACTATATTTGTATTAGTAAATGTGCACATTTTTATTATGAAAATGACGGAGGTATTGGAAATCTATAAAATAATATATTATATTGAATAAATTTAAACTGGAACAAAAATCTTCATATCCCCGTCAATATTGAAGGTAACAAATTTATTGCACTTCATTTGGAAAATCCCAAGATTAAGAGAATATGATATTTACAGTTTCAGAGTATATAAAGCACGGCCCGATTGTGCTATTTTTGTCTGACATATTTTTTTTTGCATAATTTTAAGTTGAAAAGTGAAGAAGTTTTGTCTGCCGAATTTAGGCCGTTATAGGGTTAAAGACTATTAAAATACTTAATTTTCAAGTCTATCATTTTAAATTACGTTTACAGACCTTTTAAGTTTAATCAATGAAGTTGTGTATTGGAAAATAATATTTTTTTCTGCAATTGACAAAATTCGATTTCTTAATTTAATAAGGAAACTCTACTGCAAATATAAAGATATTTGTGTGCGTGGGCAACATAGAGTGCAGGGGTGAAGTACAACTTTAAAGAAACAGATGAAGGGGAGGGATGCCATTCTTTCTGAAAAATAGATATCTTAGGATTGATTGTCTCTCTGTCTCTTCCAATACCTTGGACACATTTCTTACAGCTCTTGGACATAAAGTTTACTGGTAGATTTTATAAGGGAGTATAACGGGAAAGGAAACTTCATCATTCAGAAAACGTTTTTTTATAAAAGTTAGAATTTACAATATGAACTCTAGATTTGAGAGCTAAGAGGCACAACCTGTTTGTTTTAATTAAAAAATAATATTTTTAAAAATCTGTATTGTAGAACTTACATATAAAACTAAAATTTGAACGATCGCTATAGAATTCAATTCTGAATTCGCCCAATTCCCCTTTTTAAGATTTTGTTTAACAACTAGATAACTCACCCATCTCTTCCAACTCTTGGTTCACTGATTGTGTCACGAATTATTTTACCTTGCAAGGATCCATATCAATATCCGGGCTAATTTTTCCAGGCGGGATTACTAAGTTCAACAGATCCTCCATACTAGAGTTCATTGAGTACATATAGAGGAATCTTTTAAATTATATTTACTGTACATTGAACCAAGAGTCCATGGGGTCTATGCATTTGCGTAGATTTTAATTTTGAAAAATCAGAAAACAAAAAAAAATGCAAAGAAATCACATGAAATTATATTTCGTATCAATAATATTGGACATTGGTATCTACAAAACTTCCTGACCCCATTCATGAAACCGGGTTTCTGAAACTGGGTTTCATTTCGATTCTCTGTTTTAAGTTTCGGGCTCTAGGTTATCAGCTTTTTTAATATTCTTTTATGACCCATTATCCTACATCTAGAACTAGTTTTAGAGAGAAATTAGTCAAAAATTATTGCGTTCAGGGACTGAAGAAGTAATTTCAAGTGACCTTCAATTTACAGCGTGGAATGTCTGATTTGCAACGGTACCCTTTAAAGCTTTGTCTGATCAAGAATGATATCTTAGTTTTTGCTGCAAATTGATTTTTTTTTTTTTTTAAAGTGACTTTAAGATTTATGCAGCAGAGACAACGGAGGAGATTGTCAGAATTAAGAATATTCAAGTTAGAAAACGACTATGTCTTACATTATAAATCCAGGATACCCTATTGGTGGGTCACTTTAAATTACAGTCTTTGTAAATAATAAAATTTTATCATATAAATATCTACATTTTAGACTTTCTCCAGTTTATGAAATGGAATGGATTAGAGTGATCGCTCTTAAGTTAAAGATACGTATTGCAAAAAAATGAGTTTTTACCACAAGCTCAAATTTTCTAATCCCTCTGTATCTTTGCAACTTGACTGTGTAAACCTTTTATATTTTAAACTCAGACTATTTCATCTAACAGAATTTATAGTTTGAAATATCAGAGGTCATACAACATAAAGATGCAAAAATAGGGATTAGAAAATCAGAGTTTGTGGCAGAAACTCAATTCCTTTGTTTATATTGTGTGATCGCGTTATTTAATGAGAAAAAAATCGTAATAAGGGATTAGAAGACATTCCACATTATTTGAACCGACTAAAAAACGTTCGTTGTCTCAAAAAGAGTGGATTAGGATTCATGAACACTCAGATCCCGAAACAGGATATTGTATGATACAATATCCTGTTTCGGGATCTAAGCAGCAATTGTATGAAACACAGAATCGGAAATTAAGAAGAAGGTAGATTGATAACCGGAACACTGTAGAATAGGAAGACGACATTAAAGCAATACTGAAGTGCATTTGATGTTGTTACCCAGCAAATATCTTTACTAGTGAGTTATTAAATCACTTATTTAGTAACATGGGTCTGTTTACACTGCACATTTTCTGTGCCTCATATTCATTGGAGTATTTTAAGTCAAAACTGGAGTCCAAAAGTCGAATTTTTATTCCAGAGATTTCTGGTTAACACTGTAAGAATGGAACAGATGCCAATGTTTTTTTAGTGAAAAAAAATGTTTTTCTGTTTAGATTAAATTTTTTTTCTTTACTTTTAATTTTTGATTTTTAAAATCTAGTTAAATGCAGAATGTCAATCTTAAAAAAACATGATTGCGAGAAATTCAGAAAAATAAAAAATGAATGAAATCCAAATGTTTTCTTTGACCTATTCCCCTAGAACTGCTGAGGTTCATTTTTAAACCATAACATTTTTTATAAGTTTTTAAGAAGAATATGAAATTTTTAACCTTTTCAAATTGGCATGTTTGATAATTTTGTTTTCATTGCACTATGCTAAATTTGTACGCTGACCAAAACGAATTTTTAGAACGATAATAAAAACGTTTTTATAAATTATTTTATAAAATCGTTTTGGTTAATACAAATACGTATAATAATTTGGAATACATTTAAGAAAAGAAAACTTATTGAGACTACAATTCTGCATTGCGATAAATAACTCAGATTCTTGTGGTGCACGTTTAAAGTCAAACAAACCTTAAATGTTGAAAAACGATGTTTAAATTAATTAATTAAATTAAATGTTTAAAAACACTGCCTATCTCTTGAACTAGATGTTTAACGATGCCTATATCTAGAACTAGATGTTTAACGATACCTATCTCTAGAACTAGATGTTTTTAACGATGCCTATCTCTAGAACTAGATGTTTAACGATGCCTTTCTCTAGAACTAGCTGTTTAACGATGCCTATTTCTAGAAATAGATTTTAAACGATGTCTATCTATTGAACTAGATTTTTAACGATGCCTATCTCTAGAACTAGATGTTTAACGATGCCTATCTCTAGAACTAGATGTTTAACAATGCCTATCTCTAAAACTAGATATTTAACGATACCTATATCTAGAAATAGATGTTAAACAATGCCTATCTCTAGAACTAGATGTTTACCGATGCCCATCTCTAGAACTAGATGTTTAACAATGCCTATCTCTATAACTAGATATTTAACGATACCTATATCTAGAACTAGATGTTTAACGATACCTATATCTAGAACTATATGTTTAACGATGCCTATCTCTAGAACTATATGTTTAATGATGCCTATCTCTAGAACTAGATGTTTAACAATGCCTATCTATAGAACTAGATGTTTAACGATACCTTTCTCTAGAACTAGATGTTTAATGATGCCTTTTTCTAGAACTAGATGTTTAACAATGCCTATCAATAGAACTAGATGTTTAACGATGCCTATCTCTATAACTAGATGTTTAACGATACCTATCTCTAGAACTAGATGTTTAATGATGCCTATCTCTAGAACTAGATGTTTAACAATGCCTATCTCTAGAACTAGATGTTTAATGATGCCTCTCTCTAGAACTAGATGTTTAACAATGCCTATCTATAGACCAAGATGTTTAACGCTTTTCTAATCTTAGCTTTACAACCATTCAGATAAAGCTTCTAGTAATTACGTTTCTAGAAATCACATATTTACCAGCAATTCTTCATGGTTACCCACAATGGATGAGACTGTAAAGACGACTTGAAACTATTAAAATTAGATAATTCCGAGGTTAAATTAAGTCTTCTGCCTCAAATACAATATTTTTATTACTTAATCTATGATTGGACAAAGAGAGAAACAAGTTTCAAGTGACAACAGGAAACCATAAAGATAAGGAAACATACAATTTATCAATTATGTATAATCGTCTCTAAATCTTTAATTTTTGTGGGTAACCCTGTCCATGAACTGGGTTAAACGTAGAATAGAATTAAGGTTAGACAAAGTGCAATACAGTTCAAAAGATCTAACAAACTTTAACAATGAATTTTAAGAAGAAAAACTTCGCGGGAAAAAGTCAAAGTTTTGAAAAGTTAGTGTTTACAAAACATAGGAAATAACTCAAAATAATTAAGTTTCAGAGAAACCTAAAAAGAATGATTTACAAGGTATAAAAATATATAAGGTAGTCTGGTTAGGCTCATCATGGTTTCAAGGATCAGAACTCTCCAGATCATAGATATATATGGGCATTTCCAAAATGGTCTACCATTTTTTCACTTCCAAAATTGACGGAGATATCAGGAAATTAAAGATAATTCCAGTTAATTAAAAATCAACAAAACTGTTCAAATGTTTAATAGCTCCGTCCATTTTAAAGATACAAAGAGGGTAGACCGCATTTTGGAAAGCTCATCAGACGTTCAATCTTTTCTTAATGCGATTTATGTCATTTATCAATTATCAGAAGTGAAAGACGATATTCAAGTTCGTCTCTTAATTCCCATGTTAATTGGGACACTCTGTAGGGTAGAAAATTAAAAGGAATGATATAATTCATAGAAATATATAGATTTTAATGTAGCGTAAGGTTATGAAGTCCAATTAACAAAGAACATTCACTTTATGAATCATGGAAAATATCAAGGTTATAATGCAAGGAAAGTTATTTTAATGGTGTACTGCAGAGTACTGTCTCTTGGCGGTAATGTAAACACAAGACATATATCGAAGCCTGACATGGGATCCATCTTTCACATAATTAACCAATGAAATATTCTGGTCACAGGAATCTATTATGTGAATTATCAAAATTATCAAAATTTAATGCTTTTAACCTCCTCGGATACTAAACGAACACTGATGCATTTATTCTTGTTTACAAATTCCGTCCAGAGCCCAAAACTTAAGACAGTGTATCGTTATGAAAACCAGTTTTGAAACTCTTTCTCGGGTTTCACGAATGGGATTAGGCAGGTTTGTAGATATCAATATTTTTGTTATAAAAAATTATTTTACTTAGTTTCTTCATCTTTCCAAATCTCTTAAATCAAAATCTACACAAATGCTAAGACCCAAAAAAGGAAACTCGGGAGTTTCGTTTAACGATACTCTTTTAAATTTTGGACTCAAAGAGAACTGGTTTCAATATGTACGTAGAGTATACGCAACTGCAATTAACTTTCCTTGCATTATAACCTTGGAATTACCTATATGGTGAGTGATATCTTCGTCCAAGTAAAGATTCTTCCTCCACGGGGGTCGTCTTTGTAAATTCACTAACATTTGCGGCATTTTCAAAAACTACAGTTTCCTTAGAAGGTTGAAACTCCTCATGTGAAACATATTGTGTCGTGACAGAATTAATAGAATATATTCCATCCCGATCCAAAAGGATTTTATTCTGTCCGGGAGAATGTTGGAACACTTTTTCCTGAGAAATAATTTGTAGGATAGGTTTAGGAGTTAGCAGAGTCTCCAGGCTAGGATTAACGTCTACTGGGACGGGTTTCGTAGTTTCTTCCTGCTCACTGTGCCCTAGGACAGGTTTACGAATATCAAGGCCCTGGACTCCAAACTGAAGTTGGGGTTGAGTGAGACACACTAGGATGAGGAATATCATCCTGTCTCTGCTCCGGGTCCTGAGAAACACTGGAGTTGATCTTAGTCCTGCTCCGGGCTCTGAGAAACACTGGAGTTGATCCTACTCCTAGTCTAGTCCTTACTAGGCTACGCTCTCTACCTATTTCTAGTAGTAGTCTAGACTCCGCGTCTCTAGGGAACACATGTTTCTATTTCTAGGTCCAGGATACAGCTGTTGACCCTTCTGTAGCTGAGCCAGGGAGAAATATTCTTCATCAAACCTAAAAACTAATATTATGCACCGGCTGTACTTCATAACCTCCCTGGCCCGGATTTCCCTTCTGAATCTGAACTGGGAATTAAAACTGAACAAGTTTATTAGCTAACTATACACACATGTGCATCCTGCAGTTTAAAACTACATAACTATTTTATACTGATTTTTATTTTTATTTTATAGTTTTTGCAAAATCATATTTTCTTTGATAAGATAACCTTTCGTGTGAAGAAGAAAAAAATATCAATATCTTAAAGGTTCATGAAACTAATCATAACTTTTTTAGTTTCCACGTTTGTCTGGTCCCTCTTGAATTTGTAAAAACAACTTATAAAAATGAAAATCTATTAAATAACTATTTATCTCTTCATTACAGGGAGGCATTAGGGATGCAATAAATATAGGAGGGAATATTACATTGCCGGGGATTCCCAAGATCTTGTTGGGTCCTAAAGCATCACGGGCATATATACCCTCCTATATTTTCCTTATTGCCTCACTTGAATGAAGATATGTGCAATTTTTTCAACTTTTTATCAAATGTATGGAGATTTCTCCACTTCTAAACAAAATATAACTCTTTAATTTACATAAAAATCAACCGTTTTCTTATTTTAAAAACTGTAACATCTTCAGTTTTGATAACACATATTTTTGAGTTCAGAAATCAAATCTAATTAATGTTTTCGAAGTAAATCTATAACTTATTGACAGACAAATTCGCAATCAATTAGATTGCATCCCTAGGGTTGCAATCAAACATTGCAACCCTTCTTTCATGGTTGCAATGTAAATATCAGGGATTCAGTGTCATAGTTTTTTTCAAAAGTTAAAGAAAAAAAACTATTAATCCAATTGATTGTTTTTTTTAAAGTTTCATTTAAGAAACCAAAATATTCGTGGTCTTGACTCCAAAGTCTTAAGTTAAAGATTTGAACAAATCAAATATTAATTGATTTTCTAATATTTCCTACTTTCCCTGAAAAGCGTTTTTACCATTCAGCATAATTTTTCCCCCTGTTTTTCCTTTCCTTAACCTCTTTTTTCCTGGAGAACCTTTTTTTTGCCAAAACCTTAAATCCATTTTCTTTTATTCGCTGCTCGTTTCCCTGCAGTTTATTTTCTTCATCTTTAGAAAATTATTTCATCTGACTTTTATTATTCTTTATGCCTTTAAGTTTAGCTTTATCATCTTATCTTTATTTCGGTCTTTACGTTTTCTTTCAATTCTTCTTTCTCCCCCCCCCCTCATTTCCCTCCATCAACTCCTTCCCCACATATTCTCCATCTTTCTCCCCCACCTCTTTCCCTGCATAAACTACTTGTCTACCCCCCCCCCCTAACTACTACTTCTACATACTACAGGGTTTCCCACAAAGAGTGAGACTGTAAAGACGACCCAAAACTATAAAAATATGACGATTTGAAACTTGACTTTTGGTGTCTGCATTCAATTGAGTATTTGGATGGTTAAGCAAAGAATTAAACTAGTTTTGGCCTCCAATGAACCTTGAATGCAAGAACACGAACTAAATAAATTCCATACAATCGTCTCTGAAGTCTCATCCTTTGTAGGTATTTTAAGAACAAAAGTAGGTTACGGTTCTTTTTGGAAAATTAATAATTACAAAAGGTTGATAACAAATCAAATAAAATTAAGTTCATTTTAAATTGGGATAACTTTGGACTATCATTTTGTTCTCTTATTTTGGCGGCTTAATTAGATTTTGAGAAAAAATTAATGAATTTCAGAACAATGGCCCACTAAAAACTTACGTGGCCTCCTCCAAAAATTTCAATATTTATTCAAAGGTTCAAATTCCTTCGTTCTTACCTTGCATTTCAAAGAATTCCGTACTGTCTCAATTTGTTTCATGCTTTTAACATTTAACCGTCATCTACATTTTACCTAAAATTAAATCTTAAATAAAAAACTAACGCTTAACATAAAAATTGGAAGTATGTCTGACCCCTTTATCTTTCCAACCTGATGGTGTAAACCTTTAATATTTCAAATTCAGATTATTTAATCTAAAATAATTCATAGTTTGAAATATTAAACAGCAAAAGTATTGGGATTAGAAAATTTGAGTTTGTGTCGAAAACTCATTTTTAATATAGGAACTATAATATAGGAACTATTTATTTATATAAATTCATGAATTAACTTCGCAGGCAATACTTGTGTATTCAAAATATAAAACAGAGACTCGGAAAATGTCTGTAGCTGAAAATAATCAATTTTTAAAGACAAAATCATAGATGTCTTATTCATTTTAAATAAAAAGTAGAGGAAAAAAAATCTTTATTCTTCTATTATCCATTATATTATATTACACCTTATAATTTAATCTAAATATTAACTTTTTCTTTTTCTGCTTTAAGATATTTTGTTGTATGAATATACGTTTTTTTCAAGACAAAATAGTGCAACGTATGCAATAGTTAGCATTTATTTCTATTCATTTAACGTTGTCCCAAAAATTCTAGTCACTGGTACAAGTTGTCCCAAAAATTCTAGTTTCTGGTACAATTTGTCCCAAAAATTCTAGTTTCTGGTAAACGTTGTCCCAAAATTTCTAGTTTCTGGTACAAGTTGTCCAAAAATACAGATTCCTAGCACAGAGATGGTCTCGAAGTATGTTTTTTTGGGCACAGTGTTCCAAAAACACTGGTTTCAAGTACAGTTCTGATTTCTTGTAAAAGTATGTCCCAAGATACTGATTTCTTTCAAAGCCTCACAGGTTGTCCCAAAATACTTATTTCTATCACAGGTTGTCCCAAAATTCTGATTTCTTGTAAAAGTATGTCCCAAAATACTAATTCCTATTATAAGCTGTCCCAAAATACTAATTTCTATCACAGGTGGACCAAAGATACAGTTTCTATCACAGGTTGCCAAAACACAGTTTCTATCACAGGTTGTCCTAAAATGCTGATTTCTGTCATAAGCTGTTCCAAAATTCTGATTTCTATCGTAGACTGTCTCAAAATTTTAATTTCTTGTGTCTCACAATATTGAAATAGATCCTACCATAGACAATTTTAAACAGATTTAATCATAAATGGTTGGGTGGGAGGTTTAGTGAGGAGGTGAGGAGGAGGAGAAGGTTTTGTTCGTTTTAAAAATTTTCTTTGACTCTCTCACTGGAAGCAGACCTTATGGTACTAACGAAATTAAGCACTAAACCTACAAGAAACATTTTCTTATGAACAATTCCAGAAATTTATCAGATAAGAAATAACAACGAAATAAGGTTTCTGGAAATACACTTTTTTAATATATAATTCAATTTTCTGAACTTGCATTTTTCTAAGTTAGTCTTCTGCACACCTAGCCTGTTTATTTGTTCGTAATAAAGAATTTAGAGATTTGAACAATATGTTTGTAATTTCGAGATTTCGAACAATCTGTTCGTAATTTCGAGATTTCGAACAATATGTTCGTAATTTCGAGATTTCGAACAATATGTTCGTAATTTCAAGATTTCGAACAATATGTTCGTAATTACAAGATTTCCAACAATATGTTCTTTATTTCGCGATTTTGAACAATATGTTCGTACTTTCGAGATTTATAACTGTATGTTCGTAATTAAAAGATTTTTCGAACAATATGTTCATAATTTTGAGATTGAAAACATTTATTCTTAATAAAGAGATTTCGAACATTATGTTCGTAGTTTTGATATGATAAACATTTGTTCGTCAATTTTAGATTTTTAACAATATGTTCCGTAATTTCCAGATTACGTATAATATGTTCGAATTTTTACAAAAATGTAACATTAGATGTAATTAAAAAAAAGTATCTCTAAGATTTTATAAAACAAGTTTTGAGCAAAATAATAAAATAATTAATGTTTTCACTGTACCTCAGAAGTTAAACTTTTTTAAAAAGAGGTTGAAAATTAAATTTTGAGTTGAAAAGAAACATTCAGAAATGTTAAAAAAAAAGATCATTGTTAAACCGGCATTGTGAAAAATCTTAATATGATAAAAATGTCAGAGTAGTAACCAGAAGAACCTTGGAATGAAAGTTTTTTTCGTTATTCTTTATCAAAAATTAAATGTCGCTAATGGTTTTATGGTTTCTAATTTATATTTCATTGTATGGCAACCACATTTTTAAAAATGCATCAGTTAAAAACTACAATGTTCACTGAGACATTTTATATTTAAAAAGAAATAAGAAACAGTATTATTCATAGATAAATAAATGGTATTATTTCACTATTTTCATGTTACTATACAGTAGCTGCACCATTTTGTTTGGAATCTCTATTATTTCGCATTCTGCCAACCTTTCAGGACGGATCTCAAGAGAGAACTAAAATATGTCCGTTCTCTCCTTACAAACAGACTCCGGGGACTTTAAACTTACTCCGGATACTATTCCATCCTTACTCCAGATACTATTCCATCCTTACTCCGAATACTATTCCGTCCTTACTCCAGATACTATTCCATCCTTACTCCGGATACTATTCCATCCTTACTCCGAAATATACTCCTTCATCTTTACTCTAGATACTATTCCATCCATCTTACTCCGGTACATATAATCCTCCATCTTTACTCTAGATACTATTCCATCTTTACTCCGGTACATCGTTACTCCGGAATTTACACATAGCTAAACCATTCCTCGTTTCTCGTCCTTTCCTAATTCTTATCAATTTCTCGTCCGAACAAATTCTTATCAATGTATCGTCCGAACCACGTCATTATTAATTTATCGTCCGAGCCGCATTCTTATAATTTTCTCTTCTGAGCCACAATCTTATCAGTTTCTCGTCCAAAACACTTCGATATCGAATTTTCGTAAATTAAAAGAAAATTTCAAATGAGTGAAAGTTGTCAAGTCCTTTACACATTTATGATCTTACGTGAATCTTTAGTTATTTCTTCTTACAGAATGTTAAGAATTTTTCCAAGTTGATATTATAACCTTTTTCACAATTGTATCCAAATTTTCTAAAAAATCATTTTTCCGGACTGTTCAGATTCCAAGGTAAAAATTAAAGGCAGAGGCAAAGAATTATAATGCAAAGATATTTATTTCAGAAGTACTGTCTCTGGGCTGTAAAGTAAACACAAGACGGATGTTACAGCCTGACATGGGATCCATCTTTCATATAAAAAACAATGAAATATTCTGGTGATAGAAAACTTTAATGTGAATTAAATTTTGAAAATTAAATGCTTTTATCCTCCCCGGTCACTAGACGAACACTGATATTCAATATATCTATTCTCGTTTACAAACACAGTCCAGAGAGAACTGGTTTCAATATGTACGCAGAGAACACGCAACAGCAATTAAGTTTCCTTGCCTTATTACCGTGGGCAGAGGTTTGACAATATTTTTTTCTTCGTTACACAAAGTAAACTTAAGCCATCATGTCATGGTGCTGGTAGAAGAGATTTGATTTTAACTTAAAATAAATTGACAGCATACTTCGAAGCAAATATTACACAAATATTATGGCCAATTTAAAAATAAAACTATAATAAAGGAGCTCAATCAAGAGTAATGGAAATATGAAGTTTCGGATGTGGCTCGGATGAGAAAAGAGAAGAATGTGGCTCGGGCGAAGATTTGTTGTGGTAAATGGTTTGGTAAATTTCCCGTAATAGTTTAAAAGGCGGGNGGGGTCAGTGGTGTTGATGGAGCATATCGGAAAAATCTGAAAGAAATGCTTTTATTTTCTTTTTCCTAAAATATAAATATGTTTAAAGGAAATAGAGAAACTCGAGACAAGTTCATCGGAGCGAAATAAGACGACATCTGTCAGATAAATAAATAAGACAAATATCAAACGAATTTTAAAACAACATAGCGTATGAACCTAAATGAACCTTCTCATGTTTTTTAAATGTACTGTACGCGTTTTTACCCTCAATGCAAAGATGTCAATGCCTGATGTACACATGCGATGCCATTAAAAGCTTTATCTGTACTGTACAAAAGCAATGGAGAAATAATCAGAATTAAACACTGTTCGAGTCAGGTAAACGACAACATCTTCCACATTTTGCATCAGATTAAGGTACCGTTGTAAATTGGGCAACGCCATCTTTGCTGGAAGGGTCACGTGACATTTTGCCTACAGCATTTGTAAAGGAACTTATTCTTTATCAAAATGCTTTGTTTTCAATCCTGATTACATAGAAAAATTATTTGTGGATTTATGAGGCAGAGGGAAGAAAGGAATTTATCAGAATTTATCACTTTTAAACATTGAAACGCGCCGATATCTACTTAGACAAAGGTACAGATAGTACATTTCAAAATGGAGGGGTACTTAAAATTCTCTCGAAAGTCCTTTCAGAGTCCAAAACTAAAGAACGAAAAGTTTTGACTTAAATTTTAAGTTCATGGTTAAATGCCACTTCTGACTTAATTTAAACCTGAAAGAAAGTTTAATATTTAAGTAGCTACTCATTATTTTACAGAACTTTTAACCTCGAACTTAAAATTCGCGCATTCTTTAGTTTTAGACTCTGGTCTTAATTATATTTAAGATTTTATTTTTCGTAGAAATAAGTATTTGTTTAAGTTAAACATTATTTTATTTTTTAAGAAACTGATTACAATATTTTCTACAAGTTCGTTCTTACCAGACTCAGTTTATTAAACATTTGTCTGTTTTCTCATGCACTGGGGAGTACTTGAGAGTCTGTCAATCTTTAAGCTCTGAGAAAAAATAGAATCTTTATTTAAATATGAATCTTTTATAGAAAATATCAGTGCATGCGACCTATGAACAGTGGAATGGGAAGACGACTGTTAGAATCAAGTTAAGATTTAAATAGTCTTCACACAAAACATAGTAAATGTGCAGTGAACACAGACCCATGTCACTTAATAATGCGATTTTCAAGCAGATGGTAAAACTATTTGCTTTGTAATATCAATACAAATAACATTGATTAAATGATGCTCAGCTAAAAATAAGATTGATTAAATGATGCTCAGCTAAAAATAAGATTGATTAAATGTTGCTCAGCTAAAAAAAAAGTTTATTCAATGTTGAAAAGCTAAAAGAAAACTCCCGTAAATTCGAATATATATATACAAATGCTTTCTTAATGTAAAAAATCCTATTAGAACTATAATTGTAAAGAAGGGAGTAACCGTGTAAGTAAACTGAATTATTAGTTTTTCCACTTTCTAAATTAAAAGAGAAAAACCTGATCAAAAAATCAAAAATAGTTCAAGTATTTCTTTTATCTTTAAAAATGAAATGTTGTCAAGTGAAAATGTTCAAAGATTAAAGTTAAACAGAGAAAGTTTGGTAATTAAAAGTAAAAATAGGATTATAGTTTAAAAAGACTTTTTCCATTAGCTTTTGAGAAATTACAATTTTAATCCTTTTCTTTTCAGTGAATCCACATTAAAAACCATGCTGAGAACTCAATATAGAATTAAGCTAAGAACTCAAATTAGAAACCATGCTGAGAACCCAATATAGAATTAAGCTAAGAACTCAAATTAGAAACCATGATGAGAACCCAATATAGAATTAAGCTAAGAACTCAAATTAGAAACCATGCTGAGAACTCAATATAGAAATAAGCTAAGAACTCAAATTAGAAACCATGCTGAGAAC